GGGCAGGGGGCGCTGCTGGGCCCCGCTCAGAGAGCCCTCTACAGGGACGTCATGCAGGAGAACTACGAGGCGGTGACCTCGCTGGGTAAGGGCGTCCTGGCCCCTCGGGGATTAGGAGCCGTGGGGTCTGCGTGTCCGACACGGGTCAGGTTCTTCCGCGGTGGGTTAGGTTGGAGGGGAATGGGTTCCAGTGGGCACAGCTGCCCTGTGAGAGACGTGTGTGTCCTCAGAGAGCCCTCTACAGGGACGTCATGCAGGAGAACTACGAGGCGGTGACCTCGCTGGGTAAGGGCGTCCTGGCCCCTCGGGGATTAGGAGCCGTGGGGTCTGCGTGTCCGACACGGGTCAGGTTCTTCCGCGGTGGGTTAGGTTGGAGGGGAATGGGTTCCAGTGGGCACAGCTGCCCTGTGAGAGACGTGTGTGTCTTGGCACTCTCTCCGATGGGTCGGGTGTCAAACATTAAAGGACATTCTAAGCCCTTCTCCCTGCCTCCAGCTTTCAAAGGAACAGAAGTCTTTCATTTCCATGTCTCTATTGACAGCCATTCACACTCCCAAGCCATGGGGAGGGTTCTTGGGTTTGCAGGTTTAGAAATAGGCAGGGGTGTAACTGCAGAGCTGTGAGTGTCAGCAAGGGCCCCAGACTGCCCAGATCCTGGGAACCCTGAGAGAGCAGGTAAAAATTCTCCTTCATTCCCTACATGTCTGCCTCTCTCAAGGGGGCTCATTGACCATGGATGGCACATTCCCCAGCAGAGCCCAGGGACAGGTTCCACTCACGGAATGTCCCTTAAGGCAAACGCTCTCCCCACCCTCCCTGCACCCTGATCTGCTCTGATTTCACCCCCTGCGCAGGGTTTCCCAGTCCCAAACCTGAGCTGATCGCCCGGCTGGAACGAGGGGAAGAGGCCTGGGTGCCCGACCTCCAGGCCGGGGAGGAAAGAGAGATCCTGAGAGGCACCCGCACAGGTGAGGACTCACACAGAAACCAGGTGTTAGATGAAGGAAACAGTTGAGAATCCCAAAAATGTGGTGTGGGTAAGTGTCTTGAGTTCTTCCTTCTCTCACGTAGGGCAGGGTATAGTCAGCTGATATTGCTCAAAGTTTTCCACCAGGCCCGTTACTTGCTGGAGGTTCCTTCCCATGTTTCCTTTCCTGTGAGTGGGTGTGTGGGAAGTGGAGGGAAAATCCAATCATTCAATCTGTGCAACTCCAGTGCGGTGGGTTTTCCCTGGATGCTGTTCCTCTTCAATCCAATCATTCAATCTATGCAACTCCAGTGCGGTGGGTTCTCCTTGGATGCTGTTCCTCTTTCTCCCCAGCTCAGTAACTCCTGCCCAGATTGTGTCTCTCCCAGCAGGTGATGAGAGTGCGAATGAGAAACAGGAGGAGAATCAACAGAAGGAAGATCATGGGGTATATGAACCTGAGGGAGTCTTTGTGGGAAGAGCTGAAGGGAATGTTTCCCAGTGCTTGGAACAGGGAGAAGCCTGGGGGAATTGGCTCAGGTCGGAGAGGCTGCTGGGAAACCACCCAAGTGAGCCTATGGCTGAGTCTATTAAATGTGGGGAAGGACACAAGCATCCCGCAGCCCAGCAGACAAACCCCAAAGAAGAGAAGCATCATGAATGTCTCGGTTATGGGAAAAGATTCATTCTGAGACCACAGCTGGTTATTAATCAGACAATGAGTACTGGAGAGAAACCATTTCAGTGCTTGGACTGTGGGGAAAACTTCGGTGACCGTTCAGATCTTAGTAACAATGGAAGAAGTTACATGGTACAGAAACCGTATCAATGCCTGGAGGGCAAGAACTGTTTGGATTGGAAGTCAGCACATGAGAGAAGCCACTCACGCGAGAGACCCCACAAGTGCTTAGACTGTGGGAAATGTTTCATACAGAGGTCACACTTGGTTTCACATCAGGCCATCCACACAGGAGAGAGACCCCATAAATGCTTAGACTGTGGAAAAAGTTTTATACGGAAGTCTGACCTTGTTAACCATCAGGCCGTCCACACAGGAGAGAGACCCCATAAATGCCTTCACTGTGGGAAAACTTTCAAATGGAGGTCAGCCTTTGTTTCACATCAGGCAATTCACACAGGAGATAGACCCCATCAGTGTTTAGCGTGTGGAAAAAAGTTCTTATGGAGGTCAGCCCTTCTTTCGCATCAGAAAATCCACACAGGCGAGAGACCCCACAAGTGCTTAGACTGTGGTAAAAGTTTCAAAGGGAAGTCAGACCTTTTTTCACATCAGAGAATCCACAAAGGAGAGAGACCCCATCAGTGCTCAGACTGTGGAAAAAATTTTATATACAGGTCTGAGCTTGTTAAACACCAGGCAATCCACACAGGAGACAGACCCCATAAGTGTTCAGTCTGTGGGAAAAGGTTCATACGGAGGTCAGCCCTTGTTTTACATCAGGCAGTTCACACTGGGGAGAAACCCCATAAGTGCTTAAAATGCAGAAAAAGTTTCATACGGAAGTCAGACCTTGTTAACCATCAGGCAGTCCACACAGGGGAGAGACCCCATAAGTGCTCAGTCTGTGGGAAAAGGTTCATAGGCAGGCCACACCTTGCTTCACATCAGGTAGTCCACACAGGGGATAGAATCCATAAATGTTTAGACTGTGGAAAAAGCTTTATAAGAAGCTCTGATCTCATTAAACATCAGGCCGTCCACACAGGAGAGAGACCTCATAAGTGCTTAGAGTGTGGGAAAAGTTTCAAATGGAGATCAGCCCTTTTTTCACATCAGGTCATACACACAGGGGAGAGACCTCATCAGTGCTCTGACTGTGGAAAAAGTTTTATACGGAGGTCTGATCTTGTTAGCCATAAGGCTGTCCACACTGGAGAGAGACCCCATACGTGCTTAGTTTGTGGGAAAAGTTTCAAATGGAGGTCAGGCCTTTTTTCCCATGAGAAAATCCACACAGGAGAGAGGCCCCATCAGTGCGTAGATTGTGGGAAAAGTTTCATATGGAGGTCTAAACTTGTTAAACATCAGGCCGTCCACACAGGAGAGAGACCCCATAAGTGTTTTGACAGTGGAAAGAGTTTCATATGGAGCTCGAGTTTCTTAAACATCAAGGAGAGCACACAGTAGAGATTCCCCATGTGTGACTGGACTTTGAGTAATATTTCATGGAGAGGTCAGGCCTTCTTCAGCACCAGTCAATTTTCACTTCAGCGGGACCCCGTCAGTGTTTCTGTTGCCAACGTGACACACAGAGATCATGTTATCAAACATGGAAGAATTCAAACAAGGATCTTAACTTCTGTGACACATGGTCAAAGCGCGTTATGAAACTTCCAAGCTAATTAACCCCGATTATCCTTTAGAAACATGTTAGAGCAGTGTGTATTGGAAGCCACTGAATGTTTGCTAGATTAGAACTTTGAAATGTAAATTTGTATTGCTAAAAAATTGGAGGAAGATAGTAGTGCTGTTGATTAATGACATTTAAGTCACATGATCCACTTGAAAAATTAATCACCATTATAGAAATTGAACTCAGTGAATCACATTGTTCCATAATAGAACAGCAATTGAAATGTATTAAATGTTTTTGGGTGTTTTCCTTTATTTTCAAATACATGGATTGCTGTTATTGCAAAGAATCGAAAATGTACAGTGCTCACATCATAATATTTTATTGCACTGGAAACATTATAAGCAAAAGAAATAGTACTTTTCAATTTACCTCACACATACGGTAGTGTAATCTCTGTGTCACAGAAGTATAACTGTAACATGTGGATTATTTTTGTTATATACCCTCAGGCTGCTCCTCCAGGTGTTTGTGTCCTTTAGCTCAGTCATGATTACTTTGGGTACTTGAGGGATATCTCAAAATTCGTTATGAAGACTGAATACTTGGGGATATTTCTTCTCAACTCTAGTAGTGAGATAGTGCCTAAGGCTATGTCTACACTGTGGGATTTTTCCTGGACCAAATGGCGGAAAAGCCTCTTCCGGAAAAGCAATGGGAAAAAGCTATGCAAATTGCAGAGCACCATTTGTATTCCTTTTTCCAATAAAAATCTGTAGGCTGCGTCTAGACTGGCAAACTTGCCAGCTGTCTACACTGGCCGCTTGAATTTGCACAAGAACACTGACGATCTAATGTAAGATTGTCAGTGTTCTTGTGCAATACTATGATGCTCCTGCTCGGGAAAAAGCCCTCTTGCGCTAATGCTTTTGCTCAAGAGGGCCAGTGTAGACAAGTAAAAACTGTTTTGCGCAAAAAAGCCCCGATGGTGGAAATGGCGATCGGGGCTTTCTTGCGCAAAACCGCGTCCTAGATTGGCACGGATGCTTTTCCGCAAAAAGTGCTTTTGCGCAAAAGCGTCTGTGCCAATCTAGATGCTCTTTTCCGCAAATGCTTTTAATGGAAAAACTTTTCCGTTAAAAGCATATGCGGAAAATCATGGCAGTCTAGACGCAGCCGTAGTGTAAACCTGTAAGAGTGATGTTCTTCTCAGTGTTGGGCTTTGTGCCTGCAACCTTGTGTAAGCTGGGGATTTCAAACCAAAAGGCGCTGCCTCTCTGGCCTTAGTTTATGTCTTTTCCAAAGGGCAGAGCTACCTCCAACAGCTTCATAGACTCACAGACTTTAAGGTCAGAAGAGACCATTATGATCATCCAGTCTGACCCCCTGCACAGTGCAGGCCACAGAATCTCACCCACTCCTCTTAGAATAATCCTCTCACCTATAGCTCAGATATTGAAGCCTTCAAATACTTTGAAAGCCCCAAGATGCAGAGAATCCTCCAGCTGTGATCTGCGCCCCATGCTACAGAGGAAGGCGAAAAACCTCCAGGGCCTCTGCCAATCTACCCTGGAGGAAAATTCCTTCCCGACCCCAAATATGGCGATCAGCTAAACCCTGAGCATGTGAGCAAGACTCACCAGCCAGACACCCAGAAAGTTCTCTATAGTAACTCCTATCATCCCTCCATTGACCTATTTCCCACTGATAATGAATGGTCAATTAGTTACCAAGATCATGTTATCTCATCAAACCATCCCCTTATCATAGAATCATAGAACTGGAAGAGACCCCAGAAGGTCATCAAGTCCAGCCCCCTGCTCTAGGCAGGACCCATCCCAACTAAATCAACCCAGCCAGGGCTTTGTCAAGCTGAGACTTAAACACCTCTAGGGATGGAGACTCCACTGTTTGGAGAAGCTGCATCAATGCTGAAGTTTTGAAAAGTAGAAGGAAATGTTACTGGACACCAAATGGACTCGAGCCCTTATTTGTAAAAACATAGCAAATTATAAGAATTTATAGAGAGGAAGAAAATAATTCACTCCATCGTCTTCCCATTTAAAAAAAAATTACTAGAAAAAAATTAAACAGAAAATTGTAAGAATCCTTTTCCTAAGAAATCCAAAATAAAAATTAATCTGCACCTCCTAGGCTGTCTGACTGCTCTGGGTGCAGTGTTTTAGCTGGTCCCTAAGCACCGCTCTCTCCTGACCTCCTTGGGCTGCGTCTAGACTGGCAAGTTTTTCCGCAAAAGCAGCTGCTTTTGCGGAAAAACTTGCCAGCTGTCTACACTGTCCAGGAGGTCAGGAGAGAGCAGTGCTTAGGGACCAGCTAAAACACTGAGCCCAGAGCAGTCAGACAGCCTAGGAGGTGCAGATTTATTTTTATTTTGGATTTCTTAGGAAAAGGATTCTTACAATTTTCTGTTTAATTTTTTTTTAGTAAATTTTTTTTTAAATAGGAAGATTGAGTGAATTATTTTCTTCCTCCCTATAAATTCCTATAATTTGCTATGTTTTTACAAATAAGGGCTCGAGTCCATTTGGTGTCCAGTAACATTTCCTTCTACTTTTCAAAACTTCAGCATTGATGCAGCTTCTCCAAACAGTGGAGTCTCCATCCCTAGAGGTGTTTAAGTCTCAGCTTGACAAAGCCCTGGCTGGGTTGATTTAGTTGGGATGGGTCCTGCCTAGAGCAGGGGGCTGGACTTGATGACCTTCTGGGGTCTCTTCCAGTTCTATGATTCTATGATAAGGGGATGGTTTGATGAGATAACATGATCTTGGTAACTAATTGACCATTCATTATCAGTGGGAAATAGGTCAATGTGCAGAGAGGCTGCGGCACCCCTGACCAGCAAGGCCCTGCCTGCAGCTGAGCCACTAACCCAGCAGAGGACTTGCCTGCCCAATGGTTGGGTATCCCAGGCTGGGAGACTCTAGGGGAGCATGGGTGGGGCCAAATGAAGCAATTTGGGAAAGCAAGGCCTCCCCCTGCCTAGGATACTCCCCACCCATGCATTAGCTGTGACCCCTCCCCCTCAGTGAGGTGATAGGTTTTCCTAGAACTTTATTGGTTTCTGATATTTTAGCAGCTGCTGTTTAATTAATGTCAAGTATTAGAGGAGGTAGCCATGTTAGTCTGAATCTGCAGAAGCGACGAGGATCTTATAGACTAACAGATTTATTGGAGCACCTCCACATCAGAAGTGGGCCTCATCCTCCCTGGCTGAATTGACCTCGTTATCTCAAGCCTTACTTTTGATTGCTACGCTTTTCTTATGCCTGTATATTTATACCTGCCTCTGGAATGTCCACGACATGCCTCTGACAAAGTGGGGCTTTGCCCACAAAAGCGAATGCGCCAATAAATCTGTTAGGCCGTGTCTACACTGGCACGATCGTGCGCAAAAGCGGCCGCTCTTGTGCAAAAACTTGCTGCCTGTCTACACTGGCCGCGTGTTCGTGTGCAAGTAAACTGACGTTCTAATGTATGAAATCCGGGCTTCTTGCGCCAGGACTCTGACGCTCCCGCTCAGGAATAAGCCCTTTTGCGCAACTGTTCTTGCACTAGAGGCCAGTGTAGACAGGCAACATGAATTTCTTGTGCAAGAAAGCCCTATGGTTAAAATGGGGGGGAGGGGGGAAGAAAGGAAGGTAAGTGTCTGTGAATTGATGATATTAGAGGTGGGGAGAGTGGGATGTCTGTGAGCTAATGGTATTAGAGGTGATAATTGGGGAAGCTATCTTGGTAATGGGTAAGATAGTTTGAGTGTTTGTTGAGTCCTTTTTGGAAAGTGTCGAATTTTAACATGAATGACAGTTCAGAGGATTCCCTTTCAAGGATCCCCACCCCCGCATCCCCCTCCTGTTGTGAAATGTGATTTGTCCTTTTCATATGTGTTCATTTTTTTAATTGTATCCTTTGGTATATATGGTTGTGACTATTTTCTTCCACTATTTGATCTGAGGAAGTGGGTCTGGCCCAGGAAAGCTCATCACCTAATAAACCATCTTGTTAGTCTTTAAAGTGCTACATTGTCCTGCATTTTGCTTCAGCTACCCCAGACTAACACGGCTACATTTCTATCATTCTTCTGTAAAAGCACCTGCCAATGTAGACGCTCTCTTCTGGAAGAGTTCTTGCACAAGAAGCTGCCAGTGTAGACGTAGCCTTAGTCTGCAAGATGCCACAGGACTCCTCGTCGCTTTTGTTTAATTAATGGCACTTGTTCCGAACTGGAGATTATGCAGGGGGCAGAGAAAAAGTTCCCCAGAGTGGAGATACTCTAGCCCCTGTTTTGATTTAGGGGATCCCCTCAGGACCCAGCCCTGTGGGGGTGACAAGGACTTTGCCACATAGGAGAGAGCTGGAGGAGAGGCAGGCCCTGGGTGAGGGGAGGGAGAGGGAGGAGTCAGATCCCTCTGCAAGCCAGTTCCACCGGGCTAGTGCATGAGCCAGGAAAGTTCCCCACAAAAGCAGGATGATTCTCCCACTTGCCCGGGGACATGTTGGTTTGTCCTAAAGGGAATTAAAAATTTAAGGAAGAAATGTCAGAGCGGCCCCCGGCGGGAGGTGCTGGCCGCAAATAGTTTGAAACTGACGCCCCCCCGAGCTGGCTGCTCCCGAGGGGTCTGTGAGCGGGGCAGAGCCAGGCCCAGGGGCGCAGCGCAGCGCGGATGGCGGGTGTCTCGCTAGGACCCAGCAGCAGCAGCAGCAGCAGGCGCGGGGGGAGCGATCGCTGGCTCCGGCCCGGCCGCAGGAAGCGACTCGCCGCCGCTGCTCGCGGGGACTCTGGGGCCAGGCTCCGGGCCGGATCCCCGAGCCCCGGCGGGGGCTGCTGCGGGGCCCCGGAGCCCGGGCTGCAGCCCAGAGGGGGAATGTCCG